TCTCTCTCTCTCTCTCCCTCTCTCACTGTTCTCTCACTTTCTCTCTCTCTCTCTCTCTCTCTCTCTCTCTCTGTCTCTAGCAAGTACACATGTATTATGGCAAAAATAAAATTAAATATGAATGTGTGGATTTATTTTGGCTCTGTATATATGTTCCATTTTTCTATGTCTGTTTTTATGCCAGTACCATGCTGGTTTATTTTTAATCTTGTTTTATTGCATTTAAACACTGTATATCTTCACAATACAAAAAAGTCTTCTCCAGCATAAATAGTGTTTATCAGTCATGTCAAAGCTGGCACTATATACATTACCATCAACAGATCACTTTTTATTTTTGTGTCCAGTTAAGATTTCTGTTTTTTTCCTGCTCCCTGTCACCTACCTCCTCCTATATGGTCCCTCTTATCCACAATTGCCCTCAGTGATTCTAGATCTTCTAATCTTTCTGTTTCTGCTGCAGAGTGAAGACATTCAGGTAATATTAAGCAGGAACACACAATCCCGCCCTTTCATATCTGACTTGTTTGCTTAGCATTAAATCTTCCATATTCATCCACTTTGTATCAAATTGCAGCATCTCACTGTTTTTTGAGGCTGAGTAGTGTTCCTTACTGAAATCAGGTAGGGTGATGTCTCAAGGTCTGTTTCCCAGTTCGTGTTCAAAACCCAGTTGTCTCCTCAGCTGACTTTTGACTGCTGAGGACTCAGCCCTGTAATGCAGTGCAGGAGGACACAGAGAGGGGAGGTCAGGGTGAGCCCACAGGGCTGTGGGGACTGCGGGGCACTCAGGACCACCAGGGGGCGCTCAGCACTAAGGGGGCCCAATTCAGTCACGTGGATAGTCCAAATGGAGGTACTGAAGGATTTTCTACTGTGATGTTTGCACCTATTTTTCACTCAGCTGATGTGAGAGATGCTCTTACTCATTGATTAAGTAATTTCCTAAATTAATGTGACCCTCTAGACATTCTTTCCATATGATTTATAAATTTTAGACTGTATAGAAATACATTAACTTCAAAACTATTAACTGATACTTAGTTTTACAATCTCTCAACTTCAGTGTATATAAGACCAATAAATTCTGATGCTCAATTTTAGGCAGGTGGATTAGTGACAGCCACATCCACACGTACATAGAGTTCTTCACAAAAGACCCTGACATTTACTGATTATAGGCATTTAATTTCTGTCCAACCACTAAGAAATCACACCATAACCTGAACAGAAAATTCCATACCCACACAACATAGACTTGATAAGCTGCATAATTAAACTTGAATATCACATCACAAAGGAGTCGATATCACACACGCACACAGCTACAGTAACTATCACTACCAATAATAAAAGCTAGTGAAGGGAAGTGCCACATTATGCTCAGCTTCCAACTTATCAAACAATGAAAAATGTTCAAAAAGGGAGGTATGGCTTATAGGGGGAAAGGAGCAGGCGATGGTAACTCCTGAGGAGGATGGAGTGTCACACTACAGCTGTAATGCCACACTCTGAGAGGTGTACTGGTAAGGTCCCGTGTTCATGTCCAGAGACTTCCCTGAACATAGGGGTGTGTAAGTGTGTCTATGTTTCTAGGCTGACTTGAGCCAAGGTGAATGAAATCATAGACTCTGTTGCTGACACCTGTCTCTAAGTCTTATTTTTTCTCTCTCTCAATCATTAAAGAAAAAAATATAAAGTTTTAAAAATAGGAAAAAACTGAGAAGGACTAAACTTTAGTTATAATAAGTAATGTATTAAGTAATCAGTAATAAATATATTCCAAAGTTTAAAGAAAACAATGTCTACCATTAAAATATTTTTTTAAAAAAGTCTTCTAGAATGAGTAATATCAAGATTATAGCAATTTTACTCAAAATCAAATGAAAATTAGAAAATTTTTTCTTTCTTTTTTTGGAGAGCTTTTTGCTATAAGGCATGTGTGCTTGCCAGAAAGCCAGAGAAAGACAGAGAGAAAGGAAGCCGAAATCACCCCCCAGGGAAGATGGCCATGCCACAATCCCTTCTCCTCCATTCTCCTCTTGGGATCCTGGGCATGCATGCACATGCGCCTGGCATGAATTTAAGCCACCAGGTCTGAGACTCGAACGGTGGTCGACTACATGGGAGTCCAGTGACATAGCCATTATGCTAACTGCTGGTCCCAAAATAAGAAAAAAATTTAATAACTAACATGTTGAAAAAAATTACAGGAATAAAAATCAATACAAATATAGAGAGAATTTCAGATACCAATGTCATAAATGAAAGATGAAACAACACTACAGATCCTATACACATTTAATATGAAAAAGGATTATTTGGAACAATTTCATGTCTGTGTATTTAATAACACAGAAATAATAAATTCCTTAAAATATACAATTTAATAAAATTCATCCCATGAGCATTAGGTAATGCAATGAGGTCTACTGAGGAAATTGAACCAATTAAATAATAAAACCCCAAATCAGAAAGAACCACCATTCAGTGGTGAATCTGATCCATCATTTTAAACAAAATGTTGACTCTCTACAAATTATTCCAAGAGAAGGCAAACAGAAGGAAAAATTCTTAACCCATTTTACAAAGTCAGTGTCACCCTGCTGCTAAAACAAGACAAGGACGTTACAAGAAGAAAAGCGTGAAGATCAGTATCTGTCACTGAGCCTCAGGAAATGGCAGCGAGTGTACGGGTGTGTTTAGTGAGTACGTGTGAGGGCAAATGTATGTCAGCATGTGAGTGTGTGTACAAATGTCAGTCATTTCACTGGGGACTTGGGAGCAGGTGGTTCAGACTCTCAAGGGGGTGAACTGACACAGCTGCCACTATTGCCACCGGCACTGTCAGTTCTCACTACATGGGTTTATGGTGCCTGCCTCATGAGAGGTTTTTGAGGTCCACCTTGGGACAAAGCAAGAGGAGTGGCCGCTGCTTGGTACCAAACCCAGTTATCAGACTAGCGGTGCTGGGCCAAACTGTGCAGCCTCCCTACTGGACCCAGGGCCCAGGGTTGTGATATCCACCAAGAAGGCAGCTCACACCCTAGCCCTGACCACTGGACTCCAAGCTGGAGCCATAAGTCTGAGACAGAGCAGGCCACAGCATGGCCCCGCCCGGTTCCCACGGTACAGGAAGTGAGATGTTTGCTGACGTTCACCCCAGGTGTCACCCCAGTCTGAGAGACATCAGCAGTCTGTGGCACAGCCCACCACTGGGACCAAGCTTCTAGAAACAGAGATGTCCCCAGGGGTTATTGTGGCCTTTACCCGGGCACCACGACAGCCCTTAGCCTGAGAGACTGACATGGCTTTGCTGCTGGGACCAGGGCCTGGGAGCTGAGACAGTCACCACGGAGGAGCAGTTAGCCCCACCACAAACGCCAGAGGACTGTGATCCTGAGAGGGACTAGCAGACGTGGCATGGCACCACCACTGAGACCTGCCATCCAGGATCCGAGACAGTCACCAGGGAGACCATTGCTGTCCTTCACCCCAGGTGCCGCTGGAGCTGCGAGCCCAAGGGAGATGGGCAGGCAGCAGAGCAGAGTGGTCCCCCACTGGGACTCAACACCAGGAATGAAAATAGTTCCCAGGGATGCAGTTGTTATTTTTCACCCTGGGCTCCACAGAAGGAAAGACAAAACGTGATCATATCTACTGATGCAGAAAGTGTGTGATAAAGTGCTACATCCCTTCATGATTAAGACTCTCAACAAAGTAG